TTTTAATATTTAATACATTACCAAAAACTTATTAATTAGAATAATTCCCAACAAGTGTCTTTCGACTTTCGATTTTTTGAATTTTTAAAATCGGTTCAGGATTTGCACTTTTTTCACTAATTATGAAGAAGCACGATCTTAGTTAGAAGTTCAACAAAAAACTTTTTATTAAAACTAAAATATTATAATGATAAAAAATGAGGAAACATGCATTCAGAGTAGTCAATCAGGTAAATAAATCTAGCTTATAGTCATTTTTAATGAATTTTAATTTTTTGTCGATTTATATTTTTTTTAAATGGTTGTTTCATTTATTTTAACAATATATTATTTTTATTTATCTTTTAAGATCATCCTCTTGACAAAAATTATATATATATATATATATATATATATATATATATATATATATATATATATATATATATATATGAATACATATAAAAAAAATGTTTTTCACAAGCGTGCATACAAATAATAGAACTAGTTGGTTTGGTATTTAGCCTTGAGGCAAGTTACATGAACTTCCCGATATGTTTAAATTTTTTTTAAATTTAACTACTTGTCGTAATGCCGTAATATTGCAGTAAGTTCTATAAGACCATGATGTATATCGCCAAAAAAAGTTCCATAAAAATCGGCTTAATTTTTTTTTCAACTGTTAATTACAAGAAAACGGCTCGGTAGATTTTCACCTAAAATTAATCAGTACCATTCCCAACTAATATCTTTTGAACAGTTTTTGATTTTTCAGAATCGGTTCGGTAGGATGAGCTTAAATGTGGACGAAAAGTTTAACACTTTTTTTCAACAGTTAATTACAAGAAAACGGCTCGGTAGATTTTCACCTAAAACTAATCAGTGTCATTCCCAACTAATATCTTTCGAACAGTTTTTGATTTTTCAGAATCGGTTCGGTAGGATGAGCTTAAATGTGGACGAAAAGTTTAACACTTTTTTTCAAATTGCAAAGAAACGGCTTGGCAGATCGTCACACAAAACTGACAAACGATAGTCCTCACCAAAATACATCAAATAGTTTTTAAATTTCTAAAATCGGCTCAGGCGTTTTTGAGAAAACGTCGATCAAAAGTCTAATTTTGACAAATGCCAAAAAAACGATACCAATTTTTGCAAACTTTGACGAATTTTTAAAGCTGAACCATTTGTCGTAGGGCCGTAATATTTTAGTATGATCTAGAAGACTATGGTATCTACCGTCAAAAAAATAATCATAAAAATCGTCGAAATTTTTTTTTTAACAACTTTATTACAAGAAAACGGCCCGGCCGATCTTTACCAAAAACTAATCAGCACGATTCCCAACCAATATCTATCGAATGATTTTTGAATTTTCAGAATCGATTCAGAATTGCGGGCTAAAAGGTGGACGAAAATTTTTTCACTTTTCTGCAATTTACAAAGAAACGGCCCGGCCGATCGCTGCACAAAACTCGGAAAAGATAGTCCTCATCGAGATACATCGATCGGCTTTTAAATTTTTAAAATCGGTCCATCGGTTTTGGAGAAAACGTCGATTTACGGCAAAAAATCTGTTCACATACACACACACACACACACACACACACACATACTTTTTCCAAATTTGGTCTCATTCGATTCAGAATGGCTTGAAACGTCGAGAAAACATAAAATTAGCGAATCGGATTTTTTGATGAAAACATAAACTTCTCCTTCGGGAAGTTAAAAAAAACTTATTTGTGTTTTAAAACATTTTTAATAGACCTCTAGACGTTTCGAGTCCTAATTTGACTCATCTTCAGTGGATAAAACACACAAATTCATTTAAAAGACAAACATCACACTAATTAAACAAAGTAATTTTAAATATTCGTGTTAACTAATTGGAATTAATATATAAATTATTTAAAAATAACATCCATCCTATTCGACCTATTATGAAAAATCTAATAAATATATGAATTAAATATTTTCATTTATATATTAATTTTTATTTTTACACAAAATCAATACAAAATGTATAATGCTAAGAAAAAAATATAAAAATTATTGATAATATAATAATATAATTCTTGTATACAGATTCTTTGACAAATAATGTAATCATATTTAACTAAATTTATTATTAAGGGCCAAATAAAATAAAATAAAAAAAAAACTAAATTTATTAATTTACATTATACTGAAAATGAAATAAACCGAGCACGAATATTATTTAATAAATGTGAAACAATTTAATTTAGAGTTTAATTTTTTGCTAGTATATTACCATTTTACAATTCTGATTAAATGTGCCAAATTTGGCTGATACTTGCCAATACACTTTTAAAGTGTTAAAATAGTGTATTTTTTTTAAAGGAGGGCCTCTCAAAGTCGATCAATTTTAAAAATCTTCAATTTAAGGCGTTAATTCTTGTGATCCTAGACATTTTATTCATGGTTACGATTTCAAAGTTTATAGAACAAAATTAGTGAAAATTAACCATACTAATCGAAACATATTTACACGAAAGCTCTAGGTTGCACTTAAAAGCTCATCATTTTCAAATCACGTGTGATTTTATTTATGATTTTTTGTCATGATAGTTATGATCAATACTATCACCCCATTTCAGCTTGACGTTGTTTTCTGGGACATCCTGTATATATATATAAATATATATATATATATATATATTTAGGGGCGTATGTTAAATAGATTTACAGATTACTATAAATCTGATAATAAATAAAAATAATTTAATAAATATATGTACTAAAAATGAATCAAAATAAAACTCAAAACGTATGCTGCAATAAAGACAATTCAAAATTATTTAACTTCAATTTAATTTAACCCTCCGTCGGTCGGATATTTTTTCACCTTCGAACGGTCGGAAAGGTCTGGCTGAACCACCATTCATTTTACATGCATTTATATGGGATAAATGAGTTTTTGGTGTCATATATATTAACGATTATTAGTAGTAAATATTTATAGTTTTGATTTTTTCTTTTTCGTACCGTCTTTTGCATGTGTTGAGTTTGCTTATAATAAAAATATTATATATTATATTATATAAAAAAAAATCAAGAAATATAAAAAATCGTGGCTTTTTTGTTAATTTTTCTGTTTTATATCAATAAAAAACAATATTTATTCTTTTTCGGAGCCTTTGAAATGAATGTGAAATTCAAATGAAAACGAAATGAGGTGCGTCGCCTTTGAAATGAGCTGTAAAACTCAAAGTGAAAATATAATTTCACTACAGGTTTGCCAAAAAAAATTTCGAACGCAATACGGGTAAAAAAATTGTTAATAATGTGTGCACTACTCATCCGATTTTCAGTGTTTGCGATTACCAATAATTTTGGTAGGGTTTCAATGAACTCTCGTCATGAAAATACTAACATTCATGTTACAACACATAGCAAAAAATATATACAACAGTTTGAATAGAAAATACCATGAAAAAAGACAAAATACTGGTTTACACATATCAAAAAGCAATTTCATACAAAATGTATGGGTGGTCTAGACAGACCTTTCCGACCGTTCGAAGTATAAAAAAATTAATATCCTTATAATTATCCTTCTGTACATTTTTTCGTCCTGATTTAATTGATCGACAGCTAATGAAATTTTAGGAAAAGTCAAGAAATTTCAAGTCGATAGGATTACTAGAAGTATTTTTTTTTTAAATTGAAGTCGAAAAAAGTCTGGCCAGACTACGCCGACCGACGGAGGGTTAATTATTAAAAGGATGCCAAAAAAAATTTCACACATATACGCTAGGAAATTAATTACTGTCACATATTGCTGATTATGGAAATCCTAAGGTCCGCATTTCAACAATGAATTACTCAAAATTTCAATATACAAGTGTATATGTAAGTTTATACTCAATTTTAGTAAATTTCATGTAGTTTTTACTGATATAGATATGTTAGAATGGCCCAGGCAAAATTTCCAAGTATTGAAGGAAATGTAAAAAAATGTTCTATAATCACATATTGCTAAATATCAAAATACTAAAGTCCGCATTTCAACGACAAATTACTCAAAATTTCAATATACAAGTGTATATAAAAGTTTTTACTAGATGTTATGATAAAATTTCTAACACCAGCATTGATAGATGTAATAAAATTTCAGATTTAGGAGTTCTATTTGATTCTGGTTTGTTTTTCACGGATCATATAACTGATATTTGTAATAGAGCACATAAATCTTTAGGTTTAATACTGAGAAATTGTAAACAATTTAAATCTACCAATGCACTTCTTTGCATGTACTATTCTATTGTACGTTCAAAATTAGAATATGGTTCGATTATTTGGTATCCTCATGAAATCAATAACTCTGATGCGATAGAAAATTTCTGAAATACCTTTAATATAAAACATATAAAATTTTGCCCTGAACGTGGCTTTGACCACAACACTTTACTAAAAGAATTTGGTATTCCTTCCCTTGCCTCACGTCGATTTATCTGTACAATTATGTTTTTATTTAAACTTTGCAATAATTCTATAGACTGTCCTCTTATTCTTAATCAACTATCCTTTAATGTTCCAAGGCTATCTACGCGTTTACAATTATTTTTCAATTATCCTACTCCTAAATCTAATTCTCTCTTAAATTCGCCTATTTTACTTATGTCCTCTAACTTTAACATAATTAATAATGAAATAGATATTCACAACACTTCACCTAATCAAATAATCTCCATCTGCACAAGTTAACCTTTTTATTTTCTTTTCAAATATCTCATTATTTTATCTTATTATGTTTATAAATAATATTGTTACATTCTGCATTATATGTAATTTTATGTTAAGCATTTTATGTTACTAACTATATATTGTAATTTTGTATATATTTTAATTGTTATTCATTATGTAAAATAATTGTATTTTTGAGTCCTCTTGGAGAAATCTGTGGGCTCTATATTTAAATAAATAAATAAATAAATAAATAAATTATTCTATAAATCTAATATAATATTTTCACTAATCAATTATCTCCCCCCCCTTAGACGTTCGATTCGGCCTAACAACCGCCCTAGCCTGTCTGCTCCTCGCCACGAACGCCTTCTCGGGCTCCTCGACCACTACCACCACCGGCGAATCTCAGCTAGGCCTCGGTCGCGCCGTCAACGTGTTCGTCCGCTACGGTTACTTGAGTATATCTATGCGAGTGGTGCCGAGGAACGACACCGACTGGCTGTTCAGGGAGCCGACGGTAAGCGTCTTCCGCGGGGTCAACATGATAGGCGATCAGGGAAGGAAGCAGGACGACACAGTGGGGTTCAGGGGTGATTTTCATATGGAGTTCTGTGATAATCTGAGGCAGTTGCTGCAGGCTTATTTTAGGTAATAAAGGAGTAATAGTCGAAGATTAGTTGGAGTGTGTTGTTTTACTACGCGGTTATTATAAGCTAGTTGTGTTATTTTATTACACGAGATAAAATGAAAGAAGTCATTAGTGTAATGTCAACTTTTCAATTTTAGGTATATTTAGTGTATGTCGACTGCTTGATTAATTTCTTAAGATAATTTCATAAGTCAATTGTAAACTTTAAGATAGGTGCTTCAAATTAAGATAGCATATATTTATATATATACTCGTATATATATATATATATATATATATATTTTATATATTTATTTATTTATTTATTACATTATGTTATAATTTTATAGTGATACTCTGCTAATTGAGCCCAATTTGTTCCGTAACCACCGTATCTCGAAGCAAATTTTCCGATACAAATACATTGAAATGCCATTAATTGTTTCAGCACTGTGGTTTCTGTTAACTTTTTTGAAACAAATTCTAATAATCGGGCTTAAAATGAATAAATAACAAGTTTCTTTAGGAAGTTGTTCTACAATTCATACATTGCGGCTATAATACTAGCCTTTATTTAGTGAAAATAAAATAAAAAGTACTCCTATTCTGTATAATTTCTCAATCTCAATAGTTTTATTTTAAAATTTTATTTTTAGCCGAAACGTATGGCTTGTAAAACAATTTTTTAAAAGAAATTTTTGTTTTTTATTTATGTTATGTAAAGCACTAAATAATTTAACATTTATTTTGAACGGTTCGGTTCTGTATCTGTGTCATAATTTATCTAGTTAATAAATGTATATAACAGTTTTTACTGAATTTTAGTAAATTTTATGTAGATTTTACTGACATAGATATAATTAAAGTGACCCAGGAACAATTTTCAAGTTATTACAAAAAATGTTAAAAACCTGTCCAAAAATCATATATTGCTACTAGAAAACAACTATTTCGATAAATTATATTCAAAATGTCATCATGTAATTATGAACAACAGCTTGTACTAAATTTTATCTAGTTTTTATCTAATGTAAACAAATTTTAGTAGCCGGAGAAAAATTTCCAACGTATTTAAAGAAATGCAAAAAATGTCCTAATGAATGTAGAATTAATTATGTACGTTTCGACACTGTATGTGTGTCATCATTCACCCAGTTAATAAATTCGTACCAGAAAAAGCACACAAGCAAATTTAAACACTTTTTTTAACGAAAAAAGAACAAAATTTTTAAATAAAACAATAAAATAATAAAATATAAGTGATGATAAAATTATGGAGTTAGTCACGCGATCGCAAAATTGTAAATCGATTTAAAAAATTCAAAGTCACGTGACCAACTGCATAATTTTATTATTCAACTTTTAATTTTTTATTTTATTCACAATTTTTATTTTTCCTTAAACAATCTGTTTAAATTTGTGATTTGGTTAACTTGCTAAATGATGACACACATACAGCGTCGAAACTTACATAATGAATATACATATCATTTCAATTTTTTTAATTAATTAATGTATATATGCAAAATCTAATGACAATAATAAACGATTTTAACTCATATTTTCTTTATTTTTAATTTTTTCCAGGGATTTTGCATTTGAAAGGTTAGACAAACCTTGGAGGGCTTTTACAGCAGGCTGGTTACCTGATACTACAGCCAGAAATTTAGGTAAATTATAATAGATTATATATATATATATATATATATATACATATATACCGGGTATCCCAGAACTCAACGTCGGATGGAAACAAAAAAAACATATTCCATGCAACAATTTGAAACATTTGAACTAAAGATTTGATTTTTGAGGTAAATTATAAATTAATTTCTTTTTCACGTATTTTCCATGACAAAATTAATTAAAATTATCAATAAACTAATATTTCGATTACAATTCGAGATCTTCGTAAATCAAATTTGAAATTAGTTCAGCAGTTTAGGAGTCCATTCGGAATAAACATTGTGGCACGTACTTAGCACAATATTATCGTTTAAATAATATTAATTATTCCTACTTTTTCTATCTAGGTATAAATTCGTCCTTCGTCCACGGCGACCACTGTTACGTCCTAGTCCGTGTATCTAAATACGCCCACAGTGCGGCCCTGGCAGGCCCGGTGCCCCCAAGCGTGGCCCTCGAGGACGCCGTAGCCGACGGCGCAAAAACCCTAAAACCCGGAGACTTCGCTGGAACTGCCGATTTTATTAAAAAATACGGATCGCATTATGTTGCATCGTATTCTACTGGAAACTCTTTGTACCAGGTAAAAAGATAGATGAAACACATTTATATAATGATAAATTATAAATTATATATTTATAATAGCATTAAAAATATGTGTAATATTTAAAAACAATAAAGTAGTTGAAGTCATACTTCAAATGTGACATGATCGGTTTGTCATTGTAATTAGCATTTAGGACTTAAACCTTTATTAGAGAAATAAAGTAATTTATGATTAATAAATTCCATAGTATTCGTTCACATAGTGGATTATGTTAAATAACGCCTAAGCAAATATTGTTTTCGCAACTTCACTCATCATATGATAATTGTATTTGAAGAAATTCATGTAGTTAAAATTAACATGCATTCATTGACTGCTTGTATTTTTTCTATCTTTTCGCTCGCGATATAATCTCATTCTTTGAACAGCTGTAATATCTATCTTGTCTAAAAAATGTTTTCTTGGTAAAGGTAATTTATTATTAATATTTTATTTTTAGGTGTTTGTTTATAGCAGAAGTAAATTTTTACAAATCAAGCAAAGGTTGAAAACTCAAGGTGTTTTGAATTTAACAAGTTTGGAGTTGCTGAACTATTTTTCGCCGTGGTATGTTGAACACATGGGTGCCATAAAATGTGCCAGTGGCAACAAGACTGTGGAACAGTGGGCCAATTCCAAATTGGGAGTACAGTATTATATATTCAGGTAAATAAAAATATATATTGAAGCTCTATCTAAAAGATAATATTGAGCTAAAGCTTTCAGAGAATTGTTTTTTTATCAATTTGGAACCATATTTAACCCTTGAGAGCAAGGACATTCGAAAATGTCTATATTAAGGACCACCCTGATATACATATGTCTTATATATAAAATTCTTCTGTATTGATGTATGCAAATATACTCCTTCTGAGCGATTATTCGGATTTTGATAAATATTTCTGAAGTTCGACAATAAAAAATTTCAAAAGATTATGTGGAAAAGAGGGAGTCTAGTAAAATATCACGTGTATTTATTTTTTTACCTGATTTAAAAAAAAATCAAAAATTTAAAAAAAAACAAAAATTTTCTAATTTTTCTAGGTACTAATAATATGCATAATGTTAGACAGGGAAAAAGGGTTAATTTCAAATGTCACCACGAAAGTAGAGAAAACTCCTTAAAAATCGATCACGTGATTAATAGACGATCTCTTCGATTTTTTTCATTTATTATTATTTTATATATTGATACAATTTCTGTAATAACAATTAATTTTAATTTGATGCTACAATGCAAGGGAATGGCTATTTTAATATAATATTTTCAACCGTTACTGAAAATTTAAGTCAGTTCTCATAGAAGCCCTATTTGTATAAAATGATTTTAATCAATATATATTCTTATAGTTCAAATATAAATATTGAGATATAATTTAATAAGAAGTAGCTAGTTATATTCCAATTTAGTAAGCTTTTATACATTAATACATTTTATACAACATTTAATAAATTAATAAGGGATGTGATTACGAAAATATAGTAATATTGTAGAAATAAATAGGAAAAATTGCAAAATGAATGAAAACTGTATCTGCCAAACATTTCAATTTACTTATGAACCTAGACAATATTAAAACATATATGTATGTAAAAATACTTCTCCAATATTTCGAGTTATTAATAGTTTTTTGCACAAACTACCCCATAATCTTTGGTTGATGCTTAGATTTTTGAGCAAAATAATTTATTTAAAGAGCTCCTCAGAAAGTATGACCTCAAAATTTTAGTATATTAGTCCCTGATATGTATATTATAATAACAAATACTAAATTTAATTAGTTCTTTAACAATATTTCGAGTTATTAACAATTTCTGCACAAACTACCCCATAATCTTTGTCTGATGCTTAGATTTCTGAGCAAAATAATTTATTTAAAGAGCTCCTCAGAACGTACGACCTCAAAATTTTAGTATATTATTCCCTAATATGTATATTATAATAACAAATACTAAATTTAATTAGTTCTTTAACAATATTTCGAGTTATTAACGATTTTCTGCACAAACTACCCCATAATCTTTGGTTGATGCTTAGATTTTTGAGCAAAATAATTTATTTAAAGAGCTCCTCAGAACGTACGATCTCAAAATTTTAGTATATTATTCTATAATATGTATATTATAATAACAAATACTAAATTTAATCAGTTCTTTAACAATATTTCGAGTTATTAACAATTTTCTGCACAAATCATCCCATAATCTTTGTCTAACACTTATATTTCTTAACAAAATAATTTATTTAAAAAGCTCCTCAGAACGTACGACCTCAAAATTTTAGTATATTATTCTATAATATGTATATTATAATAACAAATACTAAATTTAATCAGTTCATTAACAATATTTTGAGTTATTAACAATTTACTATACAATATACCCCATAATCTTTGTATAACACTTATAATTCTGAGCAAAATAATTTATTTAAAGAGCTCCTCAGAACGTACGACCTCAAAGTTTTAGTATATTATTCCCTAATATGTATATTATAATAACAAATACTAAATTTAATCAGTTCTTTAACAATATTTCGAGTTATTGACAATTTTCTGCACAAACTACCCCATAATCTTTGTCTGATGCTTTGATTTCTGAGCAAAATAATTTATTTAAAGAGATCCTCAGAACGTACGACCTCAAAATTTTAGTATGTCATTCCCTAATATGTGTATTATAATAACAAATACTAAATTTAATTAATTCTTTAACAATATTTCGAGTTATTAACAATTTTTGCACAAACTACCTACAAATACATACAATTCGGCCCTTACGATATCAATTAGGAGAAGTTTGAGATGCACTTTTGGATATCTTAAATAATACGTCTGTTGGGTCATCTAGTTTAAATATATATATATATATATATATATATATATATATATTTAATTTTTTTTCAGATATGCTAGTCTTTTAAAATTACACAAAGACACGGCTCTCCTCAACACTCTCGATGGAATGTTAGGGAACGAAGCCTTATTACAATTAGACCTTAGGGCCCTGACCCCTGTTTTTAAGGACCCTGCCAAAAAGAAATGGTTCCAGGAGGTCATCGACAACCAGATCAAATTGTGGGAAGTCAATATGTGATTTAGAAAAACAAGGAAAGACTTAGTACAAGTGAAACATAGTTCTTGTTAGGAACAAATTTACACAAAATATTCTTTTGTGATTTATATAAAATTCAATAGACAATAATAAACTAGGTAACTAAGTTTCATCAAAATGTGCCTATTTGTAGTCCCTATCAATATAAGTATAATATTATAATTTATTATAAACAAGTTATAATTATTTATAATATTATTGATAAAAATAAATAGCGCTCTTGTGGAAAAATTTTTGGTATAATTTACCCAAACAAATTATAAAAGGAATTTTTACAAATTTTTAACTGATTTTTTTTCAATAATCTAAAATATTATTATAAATGTAATGAATTGCAATATGTTTTAGAAAATTTAAATAAAAATCTGTAAAATTAATATTTACAATTCACTGATTTTTTTATTAAATTTATTATATTTTATATATAAATATATTTTAATACTGTTTTAGAAACTAGTTAAATGTGATAGCTATTAAAGTAGTTATTATAATATTTAAATATGTCGAAAACTTGTATTAGTAAAAGTGCCTTTTTATTTAGGTATATCAATATAATTAGTTTTAATTAATTATTCGATTAAAATTATTTAAATTACTTAGACTGTGTTTAGGTATTTTGTGAAGACGATTTTTGTATATCAAAATGACTATGAAAATTATTGATAATTTTACAAAATTAAATACTTGATTTTGTTATTTTCTTACTAAATTTGTTATAATAATGTGGAATTTATAAGCAAAAATAATTATTTACTGTGTATAGACATTTTGCAAAGCATTTTTTTGTAAAGGATTCACGAATAACTTTTTTATGAAAATGTTATAAGAAATACTACTGAATATTTTCTCAAATTTCTTTTTTTATTTGAAAGTATTTCAATCTTAACCGTAAGGATTCTATTTTCAAATAAAAAAAGGAATTTGAGAAAAAATTCAGTAGTTTTTTTATAACATTTTCAAAAAAAAAAGTTCTTAAAATTGTTTCTTCCAAAATTTGAATATATAAAACGGCCAAAACTTTGTTTAAAAAAATCCGTGGATAGATATCTTTGAATATTTGAATATAGAAAACGGCCAAAACTTTGTTTAAAAAATTGAGAAAATATTGAGTAGTTTTTGTATGACATTTTCAAAAAAAAGTTCTTAAAAATGTATTTTTGAATATTTGAATATATATATCGGCCAAAACTTTGTTTAAAAAAATCCGTGGATATTTGAATACTCCATAAAATGATTAATTTATTAAATAATTATTTTTTTGTTTAAAAAAAAAGTTTTTCATCTGGCCTTGTATATAAAAGTTTTTATAAAAATTAATAATAATTTTGGACGTTGATAGTAGAGAGTAAAATATCAAAATTAAAAACTGGAAATTTTTGTTCTGTTACTTAAAAATGTGGAAATTATTGTTGAAAATAATTATTTAAATTAAACTCTGTTAAATCATTTTTTGGACATTTTTCTGTGCATTATTGTAAAAATGATTAATTTTCGACGTGGAAATTATTTTTTTGAAATTATTCTTGTACTCGTTTACTGCTAAACAAAATTGTGAAACTTATTGTAAATTTTAATAACAAGTTGCAGAAATAAAATACCAAATCCCAAGTATTTATTACTACAAGGTTAAGACCAAAAAATATATACAAAAATAAATTAAAAATCACTTACCAATAATCAGCATCAGCATCAGCAAAAATTCTTCATACACTTTTGAACAATAAAAAAAACTGTTTTTTAACAGAAACTAATTACATAAAAGTTATTTTAAATATCACTGTCCAAATATTAAATAAACACTACACACTTTATTCAGAATAAAAATAGCACGTGGTTTCTTCTGTCAAAACTGAAAGAAAAAAAGCGCGAAATTCAAAAAATAAAATATAAATGATTAAATATTTTTTTAAATAATAAAGATATATATACATATGTGTATATATTATATTTTTTTAATATTAAGTTATTTTTATTCAAAGCCCGCCTCCGAATAAATTTCATTAGTAGTTATATAAATTAAATTAAATATATATATATATATATATATATATTATAAATGTACTTGTGTATGAGATAAAAATGTGATTTAGAAAATATTTTGAAATATATTTTCGTGAAGACAAAGCTGTTTTATTATTATAATTTATATGTATATATATACACATATATATATATATATATATATATATATATATATCTACATGGTCTGTTCAAAAAGTACCCGGAATTACTAATAATTAAATTTCGCGGGTCTGGAGTGTCTGATTGTCAAAATTTTTTTTTATTGTGTTGGTATACATGCCCCTAAAGTATGATGAAATTTTCAGCTATATTCACTGTTTACTTTGTCTGTGGTAGTCGCTAAGGTTCGACGTGTTTTTCTGAGCTCGGCGATTTTTACAATGGAAGAATTGAAAAAGTCAAAGAATTTGTATTAAATTTTGCGTAAAAAATGAAATAAAGTGTTGCAAAGTGCAAAAATTCACCAGATATGGCTCCGTGTGACTTTTTCCTATTCCCAAAGTTGAAGAGACCCATGAAAGGACGGCGGTTTTCCTCGATTGAAGAAAATCGCCGAGAGTTCTCAAGGACATATCAAAAAGTGAATATCAAGGGTGCTTCGAAAATTGGAAAAAACGCTGCCATAAGTGTATTATATCTGGGGGGGACTACTTTGAAGGGGACCACATTAATGTAGACGAATAAATAAATATTTTTTTGAAAAAACGAAAATTACGAAAACTTTTTGAACAGACCTCGTATATATATATATATATATATATATATATATATAATTAAATTTGCAGCAAATTCGTCGAATTATAAATGATAAATTAATTTTCACTAAATTATTAATACCATTCGAAATTTGATATCATCTATCAATAAATCAATAAACAAAAATTTATTTTAAATATTCAATACAATTATAAAAAATTAAAATAAAAAGATTTAAAAAAAAATAAGTAAAAATATGCATTCCGCATTAGGAAAAAACGAAACATACAATTTGAATAATATATTAATTTTAATTGACAGTTAATCTTATGAAATTAATACTATTTTAAAATCGACCAATTTCTTGCTAATTATATAAAATTTGTTTCGACTTAGAAAATCTACCAAAAGTTATATATAAAATAAAAAATTATTATATATCCTGTAAGAAAGACGTTTTAAACTATTTTCCTATTTTTTTCATTAATAAAATATATATTCATATTTAAAATACATTTTATTAAAAAAATATTTATACACTCTAAAAAATAATGGTGCAATTAAAATTAAATGTTTATAAATAATCAACAAACTAATTATATGTTAATTATAAATAATATCAAAATGTCTAACAAATATGGTTAATTTATAAATATTATTTTAACTTTAAAAATAATTGTATTCATATTAATTAAAAATATTCAATTTAAAAATAATTATATTTTTCTCTAGACATATTCAATTTTGTATTTGAGAAAATATTTTGACCATCATTTATATTATTAAAATTTGAACTCTTTGAATCTCTTAGTCTTATACTCCAAAAAATAATTAGATTAAATCTTAAGTACTATTTAAATAATTAAAAAGAAAAATTATTGGTGTTTTATACCTTCAATGATACATTCGTAAATATAAACTAAATACTTATATATTATCAACTAAAATTGGACATTAAAATATTGCAAGGAAAAAAATATAATTTACCAATAGGTTACATAAAATTATATTTCACGTACTAAAATTATTTTCCTTATGATGAAGTATACTAAAACATCTATTAAAATTAAGATAATCTTACCATCTATCGTTTGTATGTTTAATTCGTTATGGAACCTGTTCCCATCGATTTCATCAACTGATAGCAATCGTGTAGTCTTTTCTGATCACCAATCCTTTCTAATGTTTTAACAGCCTCTGTTAACATACCAGCACGTTCTCCTGGTGTTGATAATAATTGGGCTGGTAAGTGTCGACAGGCTACATAAAGGGCTGCTGCACGTTCCCTTTCGCCACCTTCGGAATTACTAGATTTTTCTAAGGAAATAGAAAAACATCATTAAATATAATAATAAAAATAAGTATTATGAATGTAAGGGTGTGTATTATGGTACCTTTTCCACAAATCGCACTCGGTTTGGAATTCCTATGCCTCAAACTTCTATCGAGTAAAATTTGTGTTGGTCCAGGAGCTGCACCTGCCATCAGTCTGCAAACTGCTTCGTACAGAAAAACTCTCGGTAAAGCAGTCTATGGAAAAAAAATTCAATAAATACAAAAATAAATGTAATTTTTAAAGTATTTTTGTGTCCTTTATCTACCGGTAGGCGTTCAGTAAGTCTCCTCAACGACGACAAATCGCGTTGGAAATTTGTTAGAATATTCGGAGCGACTGGTTTCACATTTAAACCAGACTTGGTGTCAATTTCGACTTCCCACAAACCGTAACTTGTCTCCAGAATCCAATCGCAACACAAAAGCTGCACATACTGAAAAATGAGAAAAGAAAAATGAAATTAATTATTAAGAAATGATAACTAAATTTTATGACAATAGTTTCATCCACCAGTTAGGATTAATAATAATAATAATAAGTTAGGATTAATTAAAACATTTATTTGGTAAGAAAATTATCACAATAAAATTACGAACAAAACCGTTATATAATTCGATATATGTCCACATGATTTTTTTGAGATTTTTTGTAATTTTACGTAAATTTTAGGAGTCTGACTACTTTATAGTCCAAATCATTCAAAATACGAAGTTGCAATATATGGAAGAAGAACTAAGAATTTTGAGACAAATTTAATGATGTGTAACACTTTATATGGTTTCTTTACGAATTTATTAAATATTTTGAATAGTTGCTCAAACCTGTCGCACTTTACATTTTAACATCTAAAAATACACACATTTTCTATCCTACAAGTAAAACGATAAAAGATACGTAAAATATTTGTTCTAACAAAAGATTCAGAATAAAATTATGTATAAAACGGTATACGATTCGATAATTGACTCAATATAAATTTTAGGAGTTTGACTCCTAATCGCATATCGCCCAAACTGTTTAAAATACGAAGTTGCGATATATGGAATAAAAACTAAGAATTTAATTCTGACTTTAGGAGTCTGACTCGCATATCGCCCAAACCGTTTAAAATAGCAAGTTGCGACATATGGAAGAAAAACTAAGAATTTTGAGACGATTTTAACGATGCATAATATGGTTTCTTTACAAATGTATTAAATATTGTAAATAATTGCTCAAATTAAACCGCTGCATTATAATTAACCATTTAAATTTTTACAAAAACACGAAAAATGTTATGAGCTACATTAAAAGTTTCTTAGAAGGAAAGTTGCACATTCAAATTATGAATACAATGTTATATAATTTGATATATGTCTCTAAATAATTTTATTGAGATCGTCCGATTTTTCTTAAATTTTAGAAGTCGTGAGATTCCTTGAATTTCAGCACTGCAACTTGCCCTTAGGGCAAACCGTTTAAAATGCAAAGATACGATATATGGAAGAAAAACTAAGAATTTTGAGACAAATTTAACGATGTATAATACTTTATATGGTTTCTTTACTAATTCATTAAATATTTTGAATATTTGCTCAAATTATAGCTCCTTGTAAGATTGAACATTTAAATTTTTATAAATTTTATGCTGAATAAAAAACGGTAAGAGTATTATTAAAAGTTTGTTAGAAATAAATATGCAGGATAAAATTACGAATAAAACGATGTAAAATTCGATATATGTCGCCAAATAATTTTCTTGAAATTTTTCAATTTCACGTAAATTTCAGGAGCCTGACTCGCTTATTGTTGAAATTGTTGGATTCACGAAGTTGCAATATATGGAAAATAAACTAAAAATTTTAAGATAAATCTGACGGTGTATAACACTTTATATGGTTTTTTACGAATTTATGACATTTTGAAGCAATTGCTCAAATTATGCCTCCTTGTGAAATTAAACATGTACATTTTTGTTTGTTACAACAAAAAATGCACATTCAAATTACGAATAAAATGGTATATAATTCAATACATGTATCTAAATAATTTTATTGTGATTGCCCGATTTTTCTTAAATTTTAGGAGTTTTGAGATTTTCTAATTCCTTGAATTTCAGCACTGTAACTCGCCCTTAGGCCAAACCGTTTAAAATACGAACTTATGACATATGCAAGAAAAACTAAGAATTTTGAGATTTTTTTAAAAATGTATAACACTTTATATGGTTTCTTTAAGAATTTATTAAATATTTTGAATGGCTGCTCAAACCTACCGCACTTTGCACTTTAAAAAATTACACAGATTCTATTCTACAAGTTAAACGATAAAAGATACGTAAAAAGTTTGTTAGAAGAAAATATGCGGAATACAATTACGAATAAAACGATATATAATTCGACAAATGCCTCTGAATAAATTTCTCGAGATTTTCCTATCTTTCTTGAATTTTACGAGTCAGACTCGCCTATCGTCCCAACGGTTTAAAATACACAGTTGGGATGTATGAGAGAAAACTAGGAATTTTGAGACGAATCTAAGAATGTTTAATACTTTATATGGTTTCTTTACGAAAAAATCAAATAGTGTAAATAGTTGCCCAAATATATACGCACTTTGCATTTGAACATCTAAAAATTCACACATTTTCTATCCTACAAGTACAACGATAAAAAATGCGAAAAAGGTTTTTTCTAACGTGTCTTCATATAATTTCCTTGAAATTTTCCAATTCTCCCTAAATTTTCGGAGTCTATCTCACCCATAGGCCACAGACCAAATGGTCTAAAATACGAAGTTGCGATATTTGGAAAAAAAAACTAAGAATTTTAAGACCTTTCTAACAATGTATAACACTCTATATGGTTTCTTTAAAAATTTATTAAATATCTTGAATCTCTGCTCAAACCTACTTTGCATTTTAATATCTAAAAATTTACAGATTCTATCCTACAAGTTTAACGATAAAAGATACGTAAAAAGTTTGTTCCAACGAAAGATGCAGAATAAAATTACGAATAAATTGATATATGATTCAATAAATGTCTCTAAATAATTTTCTTGAGATTTTCCAATATTCATTGAATTTGAGTACTGCAATACGCCTATAGGCCAAATCGTTTAAAATACGAAGTTGCGATATATAGGATAAAAACTAAGAATTTTGAGACAAATCTAACAATGTATAACACTTTATATGGTTTCTTTTATGAAAAAATCAAATAGTGTAAATAGTTGCCCAAATATATCCGCACTTTGCGTTTAAACATCTAAAAATTCATAATTTTTCTATTCTGCAGGAAAACAATAAAAGAATCATAACAAAATTGTTCTAACGAAAGATGCAGGATAAAATTATGAAAAAAACTATGTATGTATAATTAGATACATGTCTCTAAATAATTTTCTTGAGATTTTGCGATTTTCCGTAAATTTTCAGAAGTCTGAGACGCCTATCGTCTAAAAAACGGTTTAAAATACTAAGTTTCGATGTATGGAAGAAAAACTAAGACTTTTGAGACGAATCTAACAATGTATAATACTTTATATGGTTTCTTTGCGAATCTATGAATAAATCTAACGATGAATAGTTTGAATATTTGCTCAAACCTACCGCACTTTGCGTTTTTAAATCTAAAAACTCACACATTTTTTTCCTACAAGGAAAACGATAAAAAATACATAAAAAAATTGTGCTAACAATAGATGCAGAATAAAAATTACGAATAAAATAATATGTAATTCAATAAGTACCGTATCTCCATATAATTCGGTTCTTCTACGAGAATGGTCGCAAAACCGCTATGAAAGCATTGAAGATGAATTGCACAGTTTAAAATAAATGCAATGCAACTACAATGCACCATAGAAGCAAGCAAATTAATAAAAAAAATACTATATAACTCTTAAGATACAATAGAGAAAATATTTAACTTACCAAAGTTATATTGCTAGGATCCTGCACCGCGGTGTAATTCAACGAGTCTTCTAGTAAATTTCCAGAAATATTCAGCATGTCCCAGATATCACCACCAACGAAATGTGAAAGATCTACAAGTACCACACAATTACAAAAAAAGAATTTAAATATGCGGCAAATGTTTTATATTGTACTAACTTTTCTTTTTCTCCAGAAACATTTTCCGTGCCTTAAGAGAAGCCAGAACGGCCCTCGGCAAAGGATCGTCTTTAGCCGATAACGACGCTGGTAAGTTTTCAGCCCGGCTGTATAAATTTTGTGCGTCCAAATCTTGTCCCAAAAACCACTTGGCAGCAATTCCTGTTATGCACGACCACCAATGCGCCTTTTCATCTTCACAACCTGAGAAAGAAAAAAATATACACCTAAGTCTGTTTTTACACGGTCTTTTTGTACACGGTTTTGATATAACACGGTTTGAAAATTGAATATTTTTAATTTTTTTACACGATTTTATTCCATTTAGCACGATTTGAAATTTTATGTACTTAAATTTTTTTGTCAAATTTAATTTTTGCGAAGTATGTTCATAACACAAGAAAGTATTTATGAAAGAAAAAAAGTCTGAAACCATCGATAGTATCGATAGTTTGCAAACACTAGCTTAAAGATTTAAGTGAATTCCCCTTTAGCGCGTACAAACAATTTTTACTGGTCAAAGCAAATGTGAATAGCACTAATTTAGGGGAATACCCTAAAAATTCTTGTGTTTCACTAATTTTAATAGGTTTTAGAGATTAGGAACAAATCACCCATTTTTGTATAAGATCAATGTCTTTTTTTACACGTTTTTTTTTTACACGGCTTCTTCTGGAACCAATCTACCGTGTAAAAACAGACTTAGATGTATACATGTAAATGAATTAAATTGAATATAAAATTTTATACTTACAGACTTCGTTGGTGACCGATGCAGTTCTTGCAACCGTCAACTCCGTCGAAACGTTGTCCTGCAACCATTCAACGTACATCAGAGCATTGGTGATAGATGATTGGGAATTGTTAGAAGACTCCGAATGTTGGCTATCTGGAGTTACAATTGCGTGCAAGGCTTTTTCCAGTAGTTTTTCCCTGTACACCTGGAGAAAACAATGTTAGTTGCAAGTATAGTGTTAAGGGGGTCTTCCTATGTGACGGCCTGTTTTTTAGGGATATTTTAGGATTTTTTTTCTACGACCAGTAAATATTTAGAGCTTCAAGTTTTTTATCATTTATTAACACATATTTGGACAGTATAAATATAAAATTTCAGCTAAAAATATTCAGTCAAACTAGAGTTACAGCGCTCCGAACACCCCCGCCTCGAAAAAAAGAGCTCCCACTTCCTCCACGATTCCGGCTGATCGGCTTATCTGACCAAAAAAAAAATAAACGGCGTTTTAATTTGTAGGCTTAAAATCACGGAATGACCTATAATCAAATGAATACAAAAAAAATTGGATTTTTGATAGACATTTGAAATAAAATTTGCAAATTAGGCACTTTTTAACTTCCCGTAGGGTAAGTTATTGTAATGGGCCGAAAATCGGAATTGAAAATTTTTACATTTCTCGACGTTTTGAAGGTTTCTGAACATTTTGGCATACTTCAGATAAAATGGATGTGTGTGTGTGTGTGTGTGTATGTATGTATGGATACAATTTTTCGCCCACGTTTTCGGGCGTACGGATCAACCTATTTGAACGATTCAAAAAACATTCGATTCATATTGATAAGGAGATGTGCTGATTAGTTTTTGGCAAAGACAGGTCCAGCAGTTACGGAGATAAGGAGCAAAGAGTGCAGAAAATAGAAATCGAGTTTTTGAGAGAACGGAGCATCCGATTTGAATGATCTAAAAACATTCAATTAGTAATGATTGGGAGAAGGGGTTATTAGTTTTTCGCAAAGGCAGGCCCAGCCATTTCGGAGATACAGAGCTAAATGTACAAAAAATAGCAGTTTTTGAGAGAACTAAGCGTCCGATTCAATTGATTCAAAGAACTTTCTGCTTGTCTTAACAAAATAATTGATTTTGGAAAAAAAAATTTGTACCATTTTTTTTTTTTTTTTTTTTAATTTTTTGTATATCGAAAATAATTCAGATTTTATTTTTAATTCTGACTATAGTTCTAATATACTTTTAACAAATAATTTCAACTCTGCAATTCAGTTTATATAATTCTTATAAATATTAGACAATATTACAATATTTATAATGATCTATTTGAAAACATTCAATATTCCTCGAACATTTCGTTACGGTACGGGAAGTTCCAGCAATTTGCCTTAAGGCACGATGCCACCCACCCCACTAGTTTTTCTTGTTTTTTGCTATGAAAAAATCGAAGTTTTGAAAATTTTCGATTGATAATAGTTCATTCCATGCGATTAAATATATTGAGTGTGCCCTGTAAATTTCAAGTAATTTGGTCCAGCCGTTTCTGAGACACAATGGAGGAAAGTTTGATAAACACAGTTTTGAGAAAAACGCGTTTAAAGATAAAATAATCGTACTATATACTATATGTATACTTTTTAAATGGCTGTAACTCAAAAACTATTTGAGATATTGATTTGAAATATTAATGTTATTTTTAAAGGTGTAATCTACCGAAATATGAAAAGAAAATAATCGATTTCTTCAACTCATCACATAGGAAGACCCCCTTAAGGTATACAAAATTCTTTCACCGTACCTTCATAACGTACGCCAACGGATCCGCCTTGTTTCCCAAATTGCTGAACATCGATTCCTTTGCCTCTTGCCCGTATTTCCAGTTTTCATTTAAAAAAAATTTGTGTCCAAAAGGTGTAAAAATCCATTGGAGTCTTGCCGGGGCTTGTACACAACGCAGGCTTAGCGCATGCTTAGCTGCACTTAGATAATACCTAAAAAAAAACAACAATTATAACACCAAAACATATTACATAAAAAATATTATTAACTTCCCATAGGGCAAGTTATAGTAATCGCAAAAAAATCGAAAATGAAAATTTTTATATATCTTTACGTTTCAGAGGTTTCTGAACATTTTGGCATACCTTAGAAAAAATAGATGTATGTGTGTGTGTGTGTGTGTGTACGTGTTTGTATATATGTGCGGATACAAATTTTCGTCGACGATTTCGGGAACACCAATCAACCGATTTGAATAATTCAAAAAACATTCGATTCGTATTGATAAGGAGACGTGCTGATTAGTTTTTGGCAAAGGCAGGTCTAGCCGTTCCGAAGATACGGGGCAAAAAGTGCCGAAAACGGTAACTCAGTTTTTAAGAGAACGGAGCGTCCGATTTTAATAATTCAAAAAATATTTTACTTATATTGACAAGGTGAAGAACCGATCAAATTTTCATAAAGGCAGGTCTAGCGGTTTCGGAGATCTAATGAAAAAAGTAAAAAAAATGCCATTTGGCGGTCAAAAATGATCATTAGACATATGCATATCAAATTATCAGATATTTTATAGAGATTTTAACAATAAGTAAAATTTTTTTTTACATTTCTATGGGTTCCGTATTAATGTTTACGCGCTTTGATATTTCGTCTTTATGCAGTTAAAGCAGTACGATTGCTTTGAAAAAAAATTTAGATCTTTCAAAATATGTCAAAAAAATTTTTTTTTCAAAAAAAAGTAATTTTTGTCCAATTTATAGTTCCTCAAAAAATCTTATTTTTTCGAAGTAATTTTTTTTCAAAAATGTTAATAGTTTTTAAAAAAATAATAATGTTTGGTACGGGAAGTTCCAGCAATTTGCCTAAAGGCACGATGCCTTAATTGCCTTAAGACAGAATTCCACTTATATTATTTTTATTACCTGCACAAGACTTGCAGCAAGCTAGGATACGATAACTTCACCCTCAAAGCAGCCGTGATGTATATTTCAGCCATTTCCTCAGCCGGCATATGATTATAAGCGGCTTCGCCCAAATTAACGGCGGCCAAAGACAATAAAAGGCCTCCACTGGATGATCCACTTGCAAGATCCAATTGATTCAAACGATGATACACCAGAGCTAGTTCTTTTACAGATGATAAAGCCATGGCACGAGATTGACTAAAAAAAAATACATGAGTTATTAAAAAATACTTGCTTGATTGTTATGTAACTTTGTCGTACCCATCAGCAAAAAGTCCGCCGGCTCTCCTAGAAATAAACCTTCCGATCCATAATCTGTGCAACATCAGTCTGAATAATTGCCATGTTATTGCTGCCGAATATTCCATTCTGGATGCTGGTAGAGAACACCCATAAGCCTGTAGACATCTTTTTAGTTCTTGAGACGATAGCGAAATGTCACCCTGAAATGTAAAGTAAGAACTAGTGGTGCCTTAAGGCAAATTGCTGGAACTTTTCGTACCGTAATTAAACATTCGAGAAATGAAAATAATCAATAATTGTTTTATATCATTTCAAATAGATTATTTATTATAAATGCACACTGTGAATTCATAAGTGCTTTTTAAATAGGCGACGAGCGTATTCAACAAACAACTTATGTGTATGTTTACAAGAAATTTGTTTAATTTTTTTTGAAATTTGATTTTTTTGAACTTTTTTCTAAATTTAATTTTTTTTTCAAAATTCGAAACTTTCTGGAATTTTTTGAAAAAAATCTATTTTTTTTATAATTGTTTGAGAATTTGGACATTTTTGAAAATATTCGTTTTTTTTGAAAATTTCGAAATTTTCTCATATTTTTGTTAGAAATTATTTTTTTTTTCAATCTCATACTTCTTGAAATACTTCAAAATCTAAATTTTTTTGGAAAATTATAAAAAATTTCAAAAATTTTAACTTTTATTCTTGGAAAGCATTTTTTTCACACCGTCTACACAAGCAAAAGGTATTTTGAATCAATCTAATCGGATCATCCTTTCTCTCAGAAACTGCATGACCCCTCTTACGCCCTTTGCGCTCCATACCTCCGAAACGGTTAGATGTGCCTTTTGCAAAAACACCTCGTGATCGAGTACGAACCGAATGTTTTTTTCAATCATACAAATCGGTTATTCCATACTGTCGAAAATATCGAGGACATTTGTTAAATGAACTTCAAAATTAAAAATGCCTTTCCAAAAAATTAAAGAGTTTTTTATATAGTCAATGCAAATAAAATGTTTTTCGAATTATTTAAATCGGACGCTCCGTTCTCTAAAAACCTGAATTACGATTTTTGGCTCTTTTTGCTTTGTATCTCCGAAACGGCTGGACCTGTCTTTTGCAAAAACTAATCAGCACATCTCCTTATCAATACGAATCGAATGCTTTTTAAATTGTTCAAATCGGTTGATCTATGTTCGCAAAATCGTCAACAAAAATTTGTATCCGCGTCCATTTTTTTAAGGACTTTATTTTTTTTAATTTAATGTAATTTAAATAAAATATTAAAGAATGTGTAGTATTTAAGTAACTGTTTTGAAATTACGCTAAAGATGAGACATACCATGGTCTCGAAACGTCTGTAATTACCAAATAAAGTTTGTGTTAAAAATCTGAGTGTTGTATTGTTCATATTTAACATTTAATATGTATATATATATATATTATATATATATATAATATTTACCTTTGATAGATCAAATTCGGCCTGCTTTTTGTGTCTCCAAAACGTCGAAGATTCTTTAGATTTCGCCGGCAAAATCGGATCCCCGTACGCCAAAACTTTAATCAATCCAAGAGCCATTATTACAGAATTAAACAACCAGAGAAATATAGCAGGGCTAAAGTACCAGGCTTCAGAACCTATAAAAAAATTACATCATAATTAAAATCTATATAATAGTTGACTTATAGTTGCAACTTACATCACAAAAAAAGTCTATGTATTAGTTGACTGATATTTGTGACTTACCTTCACCGTATCCAAGTAAACCACGTCCAGCCTGAGTTTTAACATTATTCATATCATCATTGCCATTAAATCCTGTCAACATCGTACCGAAAGGATTGAAAGCCACAAATAAAAACATGAAAGCACAAAGTGCCATGCGAGACTGATCCAACATTCCGCGAACTGGCGACATACAATCGTCGTTCATGTCGTCTTTCATCTGCATAAAAAAATAGACATACAGGCTAATGTTGAAAATATTTTACCAAATATATTTTTTATTATTACGTGTGAAAATTCAGGAGAAGACGGTAAGGAATTATCAGACTGTGTTGGTGACAACGATGGTGATGATACGTCACTGCTTGGCGGTGTTAGGATGCAAGATGAATCTTTGAAAGAGTCATCGTTGACACCAGTTGCTAATAGGTCTTTTAGTGTTGTTTTCTTGATGCCATTTTCAGTGCCATGTTTTCTTGTTTTAATTTTGCATTCGAATTTTGTAGAAAGCGAATGTATTCTATTGTTTTGCGGAGGATGCCTGATTTGTTTAACTGAAAAAAAAAGAAAATAATGGTGTATGCCATCGTGCCTTAAGGGGCACAACTAGTGTGAAATTTTCAAAAAATCGAATTTTAAATTTTTCCTTACTTCGATAGGTTATACCTTTAGAAATAACATACCAAAATTTTAAATCGATATCTTTAATAGTTTTTGAGTTACAGCCACTTAAAGAGTATTTATATAGTATATAGTATAACGATTATTTTATCTTCAAACGCGTTTTTCTCGAAACAGCATTATCCGAATTTGCTGCAGCGATTACTCAAAAACAAATGATCCGGTCACTATCGAATTTTTTTTTTACATGTTCCATATATAGTACTCCGTAAAATGAACTATCGATTTTTTGATCGGATCAAAAATCGAATTTTAGCAGTCCAAAAACGACCAGAAATTTGGGTAAAATTCGACTTTTTTTTAAAAAAACGCCGTCATTTTACCAATTTTTGATTTTTTTTTCTTTATTGTAGTTCATTTTACAGACAATATTATCTAGTTTAACGAAAAAATTTTTTTTTAATTTCTGAAGGGCCTTTTCTTATCGCGCCGGAGATCGACGTTAACTTAAAAAATAATCAATTTTTTTCTTCAAAAATTTTACTATGTATTCTTAAAACATGTATAAATGCATTCCTAAAATTTTGAAATGATTGATAAAGTAGTTTTTTCAATATAAATTCTCAAAAATCATCTTTTTTTAGGCGATTACACTAGTTGTGCCCCCTTAAGGTAAATTGCTGGAAGTTCCCAAATCGTAACAAAACGTTCGAGGAATATTAAATGTTTTCAAACAAATTTTCATAAATACTGTAACACTGTCTAATATTTATAAGAATTATATAAACTAAATTAGAAAGTTAAAATTATTTATTTAAAGTAAAAACACGATTTCTATTATCTGCACTCTTTGATCCGTATCTCCGAAACAGCTGGACCTGCCTTTGCCAAAAACTAATCAGCACATATTTTATTAATTAATTATTTATTATTAATTAGGAGTAAGAACAATCCTTGATGTAAATAAATTGTATTTTATTCAAAGTAAAAAGAGTTGTTTTGCCAATTACAATATTAAAAAAAAATTTAATTAAAAAAGTTGACCCCAAAATAATTAGGATTGGACAACCCTTAATAGTAACTATATTTTAAAGAAAAATTTAAGCTTATTCTTCAAACTTAAAAATCTAAACATAAATTATATAAAAAATATTCAATAACTGAAAATGATTGAATGTGAATTGGGGTTGAAATAAATGCTAAAAGAGCTATAAAAAATAGGGGTTGGTGATAAAAAAGTAAAAATTTTGGGTCGTATGTATTTTTAACGCCACATTATAAAAAAATGAAAACAAAAAATTTCGTCCGAAAATTACAAAGAAAAATTTAAGAGTGAACAACCCTTATCACTTAGGGGTATAAAAAATAGATGATTATAGATAGTAATTTGGTAAGAATCAGTAAAGCATTTTCTGAGAAGTACGGGAACAAACTTTGTGACATGAGAATTTTATATATAAGATATATTAAAATAATTTGTTTCTCCCTACCTTAGCATCAACCCCAACAATCATATTTTTCAGTTCAATAATTTTATCATTGATACTTGTCCGGTATCTGCGTTCTATAGCATTGTGGGCACTGCGTTTGACTTCTTTCACTTTTGGTTCTTTATGGGACAAATCTTTGATAGCCAATTTGTCATCGATTACTGCAACAAAAATAGAAATATATATATATATATATATATATATATATAATATATATATAAATTTATATATATATATATATATATCTTATATATAAAAATGGAGCTCTCTTTCAAATGTCCGAATAAAACTCGAAAACGGCTGAATCGATTTGGCCAGTCTTAGTCTTGAAAAATTCGTGCCAATCCAGAGAATGTCCAAAAGGTGAGAAATTATTTCAAATCCGCGTAGAAACTTTACATTTATAATTTGAAAATTTTTGTAGAAGCGTAATTTAAATAGAACAATGGACGGTGGCAATTTCGTGAAATGTCAAACGCTTTTGACAGATGATGTTCAATTACGTTTAATAGGATGTTTTACGCGAATATTATTTATTTGTGATAAATTTGTAGTAAGTAGTTTTGTTTGTAGTTTTATTTATATACAAAAACGTTAGTAAACGGGCCCCAAGTGTCACTAGAGACTCAAAATATAAACTTTTTTGATATGTTAATATGAAAATGCATTTTTGGCATATTTTTCTCAAACACGGTGCTCTGAAAGATCTTATGTATAATTATATGCTCATTGGTATTTATAAAACATTTCTAGGTTATATATTATTTTTTATTTATGTTATTTAAATTCAGAACCTAAATTTGGTATCGATCAAATGGACCTTTTGTCGAATAACATTTTTCCAGTTATAATTTTCCAGAATTTATCGCAGAATAGATAGTAATATATGAAGGTCCGGGGTTAAAAAGGCCAACCGCCGGTTTGTCAAAAATCAGTAAAGTTAAGCATTGTTTAACAACAATATTTGAAAGTAGAGAAAAAAAGATTTATAGCCAGCTACAAGCTTGATTTGAAAACGGTAATCTTTGAAATGGGGGAGATAAACGGTTATCTTTGAGAATCCATATAAAGTATTTTCTTCCGTTGGTAGTTTTTAAGCATTAGTTAAAAAATGTAATTATTTTGTAAAATACCTTTAAAACTATAATAAGGCTTTAAATCTGTTTGCCACCTGCCCGTTTCAAGTTACCCCGCCTACAGGGTAAAAAGGTCTAGATACCAAATTTTGAAAGACATCAAAAAGGCACATTTCTACAATGATGAAGTAGAAGACAGTTTACTGAACTCAGATAATTGTTCGCTTGATATGTGTTATTTGCTGTGATATAATTGTTATGGTTTTCACAATATAGTTTACATTTGCTCAAAGTCAAATTGGACCTTTGTGCCTCGCCCTGCTCTACATATAGACTTTATATTAAATTTACTTTTTTTCGCCGAATGTTACTTGAAACTTTTCAAAAAGCAGGTCAAAGAAGAAATACTTAATTCATTTTCTATCTCTCCTTGCAGAAATTGAAAAAAATTTTAGTATCAGCTCAGAAGTATTATTTACAATTATACGCAAAATCCAGAATCCAAAAAAGACTTTATATTAAATTTACTTTTTTTCGCCGAATGTTACTTGAAACTTTTCAAAAAGCAGGTCAAAGAAGAAATACTTAATTCATTTTCTATCTCTCCTTGCAGAAATTTGAAAATTTTGTATAAGCTCAGAAGTATTATTTACAATTATACGCAAAATCCAGAATCCAAAAACAATATGAAAAACTTGAAACGTAATCAATTAGTCGAAAGACTTGGATGGTTTATACTGTTTCCTATAGAAAGTGTATAAATCTTCCAGTTTGATTGTATTGACAAAATATAGATAAACCAATGGGGTTTATTGTTTTTATAATACTTCATTGTATATAGCATTCAAACAACACATCCTTATACACTTATAGTATTAATATTTTTGATTCTCTAGAAATTGTCTAGAATATACCTTATTTAGCAAAACAACGTTTGCCGGGTCAGCTAGTATATATATATATATATATGTATATATAAACTAAAATAAATATCTTACCAGCAATTGGTGTAGTAGTATACATAACAGTTTTGTTTATATGTTGTTCCGATTTGATTAACTTTGCTTGCAATAATACATGTTGCTTGTCCTGCATTGTATTCATATTAGGCACAAAGATTTTTTGTGGTTGCACATTATTTGTAGTCTGACGAGCTGCCAGTTGTTTTCGACCCTAAAACATAAATGAAATATAATTAATGAAATAAATGAAACTATTTATTAAGTATGTAAAAAAATTATTTATATATAAATTTTTGACTTACAGGTTTCTGTTTTGCAATTGGTACATTTCTTGTCGGGGCATGTGAGAATGTTTTGATATCATAAAACGTATTGTTTTGTACCGGATGGAAAATAAGTGTGTTTTGGTTGTTTACTATAGGGTTTTGCAAGGATATCACTTGTGGTTGGTTTAGTAATGTATCAGGCTTGAAATCAATGTTTCCATTGTACATAAATATAGGAGCTGCAGGTTGTGTGGGTAAAGTTTGTTTATTTAAACTTGGCGATAAGTTTGGTGGACTTAATGTTTGCTCAGGTGACGACAAAGGAGGCGTGTAAACTTGATCTTCAACTTTCATAGGCGTTGGTGTATACAACTCAGGGTTTTGAAATACATTTGAATTATCAAAAATTCCATAACTGTCATTACAAACTGGCAGAGTATCATCGTTCAGTTGCTCAAAGAAGTTATCATCGATCACCAGATTATTCCCTAGGACATCAGGATTTGTCAACAAGAAATCTGGGGACAAAATTACATCATCATCCATCATACATTTAGCACAAATATCAATTTCCCTTACCCTCAATTCCTGACAGTTCGTCTATATTAAATCCGTCGCCGAGGTTGCCATTGGTGAATTCCATTTCTTTATTTTTAGCTTCATTCCAGATTGCAGGATCAGCCATAATTTCATCATTAATTATTGCGTATTGTTTTATTTTTAATAATTTTTATTTTAGACTTTCCTCAGACAACAATACACATGTACGATGCATAACTTCCAGCCAATCAGGGACGAGAACGGTGTGGCGTGATTATACGTCATCGTGACGTTTGTAATTTGACAGTTATCAAATAATTGACAGCTGTAAATGATCATAATAAATAATAATAACAATATATATATATATATATATATATATATATAATAAAATAAAAAAATATTTCCCTTCTATCCTTCCTTATCTATGTCTATACTATCTGCATTTGACACTGATTCTTTTATAAATTACATTGACTTTTATATTATATTCATGTTTTTATTTGGTGTTTATTATTACTAACAATAAATATAAATACACATGTTATGTGACAAATTTGATTTATCACATATATAACTAGTTTTAGATGGCTTTATACTGCCTTTGTCAGCTTTTAATCTTGATTTATATCAATTTATGTCCTTTGACATTTCACTGCTATTTATAATTAAAAAATAACTAAATATTAATTCGCATTTAGGCCCACCATATATTATATAAAGCTTCCCACAAGATATTGTTTGAATTTCAATGAACTAACTACAGCCAACTAAAACTTTTCAAATAACAAATAAAACACTTGTATGTATGTAAGTCAAAATACTCTATAACACAAGGATAAAACAAACTGTACTGGAATAATAATGTTTTTTTTTCGATACTAATTCTTATTTTATTATTATATTATCTAGGACACGAAGCTAATTTCTGCTAATATCACATTTCTTTGTCATACCAACATACGACGCTCAACCGAGAATAAAAAAAGTGTAACAACATTGAAAGACAAAAAACCTATGTGCGTCAAACAAAACTGTCAAATAAAAAAACAAAACTGTCAAACGTCAAAATAGTACACCCATTGTTATATTGTTCTCACCTCTCACATTTAGACACCTTTTAGACAGTTAAATAGAAATCCCAATTGTAAGCATATAATTATTTACGAAAGCGGTTTTTTTACATTTACATGATCATACATTGTCTCTTCACAACCAATATTATTTCAGGGAACCAAACATATAGATATTCAAAACCTAGTACAGTTTTGTTAGAAATTATTAGGAAGTTTTTAATTAGGGCTTCGCAGAGTGTTTTAGTATAGTTATTTTATTTACCCAGGTAAATGTTATTCAGGTTGTTTCCAGGTAAATGTTATTCAGGTTGTTTTTGTTTGCTTAGTGTGTTTTAATTCTATTGTAGGGTTCACTGAATTAAGATTAGGACTTCAGCCTGAACATCAAAATAGCTACAAGAGTCTTGTAGCATGTAACATCTGATTATTAGAACTTAACTCATATGTATGCATGTATATATATATATATATATATATATATATATATATATATATATTAAAGGCTAGCATATGTATAGTAATGTAATAAACTTAAGTTCAGTCCGATATTGTTGCCTATTTTTATCTTTAAGTGATCTGATTACTTTTTCTAACAATGATTAACATAGGTAATAAGAAACACAATTAAAACCATCTATTTCATCAAATATTTGTATTCAAAATATATACACATACTATTTACAATATAAAGCATGTCACAGGAAACACGTAATAAATAATATAGAATAAATATAAATAATATAGAATAAATATAAACATTGGAATTAAACATAAAAAGAAGGATGCTTTATATTTGTTTTAGTGGAGGAGGAAAGGTGTGTAATGTCTTCAAAAGATACCGAAGAAGATTGGGCAGGTGAAGGGTTAGGGATATTATTATGAACTTGGCTCACATGACGAGTTAATAAATACTTAAATTTAAAAGTTTTAAGGCAGAAAGCACACGCATTGGGATACCAGCTCTTGGCTCTTTGTCATGTTTTTGTCTCATGTGGCGATACAAGGAGCTACGAGCTGTGAATGGAATCTGACACTCGGTACAGAAAAAGTCGCTGTCCATCTTGCCACATAAGTAAAGTAATAAAGTGAAATATAAAATAAAAGTAATGAAGGTAATAAAATGTATCGTAATAAATGTAAAGAAAATTAGAAGCTAAAAAGTAAATATATAAAGTGAGTATCTAAATGATATTAATTCTAAAGTAAATATAAACTTAAATGAGCAAAATCTAAAAATAAGCTTATAAAATAGAATGTAACTTAAAGTGAAATAAAAGTAAGTATCTAAATAGTAAAAATATGAAACGAAAAATAAACTTACGCAAGCTAAGTAAAAATCTAAAAAAACACGTAACTAAACTAAAAAGAAACTTACGCAATCCTAAAAAACACTTATTTTAACTACGAAATATGAAAAATAAGCATGAATTATAATAAGAAGCTTACTAGAGCAAAAAAAGCAACGCAAGGAAAGCGATCCAGAGCAAAAAAAACGAAAAACCGAACCGAAATATGTGAAAAAAAACTGTTATAAACAAATAAAAAAAGAATAGAATTAGAAATAGCAACAGAACGAAAGAATTCTAATTACACGAAAAGAAAAAGCAGAAAATATAATAAAACGCTTACTTGAAACGAAACCGACGCGACGCTATACCCTAACAAAAATGAGAAAAGAACGCGGGACTAAATATTCCATGAAATGACAGGTTATGCCATTGATAAAAGAAGAGTATATGGGTTATGCTCTATCCCGGAGCCAACTTCAGAGCGTAGGTGTTTTTGAAACGTCAAAACCTATCTGTCATGTATCAGAATTTATATAAATGAATAGTGACTCCGCAAGCATCGGGACACATCAATTTAACCAAATTATGGAGTATCTCATTTAACAAAACATCAACAACTACGGTAGTTTCTGATTACTTTGATATTTTGTGAGGTTAGAAACTTTTTACATAATAAAAATGTGTGATAAAGTTATAAAAATTGGTTCCCGAAAAAGTGAGCTTGCATTGATTCAAACCAGATATGTAATGCATCAACTTCAAACTTTATACCCCGAAAAAAAATTTGAAATTCATACCATGACCACCGTTGGCGACAGGGTTCTAAACGTGTCACTGCCAAAAATTGGTGAAAAATCTTTATTACTAAGGATCTAGACCCCGAAAAAAAATTTGAAATTCATACCATGACCACCGTTGGCGACAGGGTTCTAAACGTGTCACTGCCAAAAATTGGTGAAAAATCTTTATTTACTAAGGATCTAGAAGATGCCTTAACAACCGGCGTTGTTGACTTTGTTGTACACTCATTGAAAGATCTTCCTACATCCTTACCGGACGGTATGGCAATTGGAGCAATTTTGGAAAGGGAGGATCCGTGTGATGCCCTTGTATTAAGAAAAGAGTTTAAAGGTAAAGAATTGAGTACCTTACCAGACGGCAGTATTATTGGTACTTCCAGCTTAAGACGTTCAGCACAATTATCAGCCCAGTATCCAAATCTTAAAGTGTGTGATGTGCGTGGAAATTTAAACACAAGAATAGCAAAACTAGATGCAGCAGATTCACGCATGACCGGCCTCCTTCTTGCAAAGGCTGGTTTATGCAGAATGGGCTGGCACCAAAGAATAGACGCTGTCGAATGCCGAGCTTATGATACTGAAATGATTGAATTAATTGCACCACTTTCTCACGAAAACACTGTATTGCGGGTACTGGCTGAAAGAAGCTTTTTGAAACGACTAGGAGGCGGTTGCAGTGCTCCTGTCGCAGTCTCAACAATTTTACATAATTTGGATACAAAAAGCGAGTTAGAAATTAGAGGTGCTGTATGGAGTCTTGATGGTAAGACTAAGATTGAAGATGTTTTAAAAATATCACTGCAGGATAGTGATATAGACCGGAAACCGTCTGAAGAAATAGTTGTAAGTCCAAAACGAGCTAAAGTTGATGATTCGGATAAAGAGAGTAAAGAAGTTGAAGATAAAGAAAATGCAGAAGATATTAAAAGTTGTGACAGTTGTGTCTTAAGTATTTTACCAATCGGACAAGATTTCATGGGTCAATGTCCGTACCTAGAAGCCGGTCACCACAACAAAGTAATTGGAAAATGCCCATACAAAATATCTGATAAAGAATCAAGCGAAAACTGTAGTACAGAAAATATAGACATCACTAAATCCGTTCCAGAAGATTTACTAAATTTATGCCCTTTCTTTAATAAAAATAAAACCCATCCAATAAATACCGTAAAAGACAATATTAAAGACATAACAAAAAGTACAAACGTTAAATTATTTTGTGGAATATTGTTACAAAACAATATTGATCAAATACTCATGGAAAAGTGTGAGAGTTTAGGAAATCAATTGGGTGACGTTTTAATTAAAAACGGGGCTTTGGATGTTATTAAAAGTGCTCAAGCGCATATAAAAGCGACCAGCTAAATAGAATATATAAAAAATGGAGCCTTGAGTGTAAATAAAAATGCTCAGATAGAAATAATTATTGTTAAAAAATATGCAAGGCATTGCATGTTTGTTTTTAGTATATATAAATGGTTTATAATAAATCATAGTAAATGGTTTTATAATATAATTGGAAATAAAAGGTTTTATATGAAAAAATAATTAAATAAAAAATTATATGAATAGTTGGGTTTATAAAATAGTTTAATTCTAATACTCACAACCCAGATTTTCCTCTTTAACATTCTCCTTCCATTTTATCAGTAAATGAATCAATTTATTTTTATAACTTATGATATATATTTTTAACATAACAATCCTCAATTTATTTTTCTTCAATCCTTTTTATATTTACAAATATTTTTTATATTTCTTTATAAGCATCTTCTGACAAAACTAAAAATAATTAAATAAATCCCAAATTAAAATCAATTTTAAAATATCTATATTGTAAAAATAATACATACAATTATTAACATGATATAATTATGCTTATTACCCAAGTATACTTATTTTATATATTTACATAAAAACCACAACAAAACATTTTAATAAAATATTCATAAAATCAGTCTTTGTTTTGGCTCAAAAGATCAATACACATTTATTCCTCATTATCACTTGTTTGCTCTTGATTAATATTTAGCTCACGTATTCTGTTTATAATAAAATTGTCAAATTCAATTGTCAAGTCAATGATCGGTCTCGGTTCTTCCAGAGGAACGCTTTCATTATTTTCATTGTCTGATGTCTCTGAATCTTCATATGTATTATCTAATACATTTGAATGATCCAAATTCTGATAGGCTATATTGGTTTCAAATGATTCTGGGAATTGTATCCTGTAATAGAAAATTATAGTAAAATATTTGTATATATATATATATATATATATATATATATATCAATATATCTTACCTGTCCCTCTCAACATTTTCATTACTTTCAACAATTTCTGTGTAATTTCCATTATCCACATAGCCCTCAGTCCGAATGCCAGCAACGCCTTTTTTCTGTATTGTAGCAATGTCTCTTTTTATTTGTCTTCTTCTATGGGGCTCATTTCTTCTGATTTGCATCATTGATTCAAAATCAATAATGTAAATAAATCCGGCAATGAGTAACTCACAAAATTTTTCATTTTTTGCATAAGAGGATTCAATTTCCATACTTGTGCGTTCATCATATTGCCACCAGCCTAATAAAATATATATAATATATATATAAATAATAAAATATATATATATATCATCATTTTGTGTTATTTTTCAAAATTTATTTGTATGGTGAGTTTCTTTACATTTGTTTATTTTACGGTTGTTTTTTATATATACATTTCATATACTTTGGTTTTACTTATTTTTGTCTGTAATTATGTATTTTTTATATTGTTTTAATTTGTAACCCTGAATTATTTAATTGTAGCACTGAAGATGGGTCAAATCAAGACCCGAAACGTATGTTCTCTAAATAAAAACATTTTTCAATAAAACTGTTTTTTAATTACTGGATGGATGCCCAAGATATATATATATATATATATATATATATATATATCATTAAACTAGTAGGGCGCATGGCATCGTGCCTTAATGCAAATTGCTGGAACTTCCCGTATCGTAATAAAATATTCGAGAAATTTTAAACGTTTTCAAATATATTATTACAAATACTGTAACTTTCAAAATTACAAATCACATGTAAATCATAAATCAATTCATAACCAGAACATTAACAATCATCATTTCATTTCGAATTCAATTTCAAAAAAAAAAAGTTCCTTAATTTACTTAAAATTGAAAAACTGCTCCCGTATAGTCACAGTCTAAACGCATTTGCAAATAATTCTGTGCGACATTTTCACTTATACTGTGCTTAGCTTGGCGGTATTTTCACATTTTTCAATAGTTTTCACAAAATTGGAAAAGTACTTCAGTACAAAAAAAGTCTAAACGCACTTGGGTAAACATTTGTACCAGAGTGGCGCTAAGACTGTGCTTAGTCTGGGTCATTTTTTGAATTTTCAATCCAAAATTACAAAAATATTTTTTGAAAAAAAAAAAAATTAAAAACAAAATTTTTTTTATCCAAAAGCAATTATTTTGTTGAAACAAGCAGAAAGTTCTTTGAATCACCTAAATCGCACGCTTAGTTCTCTTAAAAACTGCCATTTTTTAACATTTAGCTCTGTATCTCCGTAACCGCTGGGCATACCTTTGCCAAAAACGAATAACCACTTTTCCCCGTCATTACGAACTGAATGTTTTTTGGATCATACAAATCGGATGATCCGTTCTCTCAAAAACTCGATTTCTATTTTTTGCACTCTTTGCTCTGTATCTTCGTAACGCCTGGACCTGCCTTTGCCAAAAACTAATCAGCACATCTCACTATCAATAGGAATCGAATGTTTTATAAACCATTCAAATCGGTTGATCCGTGCGCCCGAAAACGTTAACGAAAAAATGCGGACATACAAAACACACACACATCTATTTAGTTTTTGAGGTATGCCAGTAAAATGTTCAGAAACCTTCAAAACGTTGAGAAATGCAAAAATTTTCATTTTCGATTTTCGGCCCATTACTATAACTACACTACGGGAAGTCAATTATTTTTAGTCCCTGAAAATTACACAATTTGAATAAAAGATGCGTTATTAAAAAATAATTAATACTATTTATTACCAATAGTTATTTAAACTTCATAATCTTAACAACTAAACTATCAACTATCTATCTAATTCTTTGCAATCCCTGCAACTCCCTTAAACATGTTAGTTTTAATATCCCGTTTTATTTTCCTTTTCCTCCAACTTTGATCCTTTTTATACTGAACAAGACGAACAAAGTCAATAATGTATAAATTGGCACAAATAAGTACTTCGGCTTCTTCACAATTGTTGGCGTAATGTTCTTCTAATTCAGCGCTTGTTCGCTCGTCATACTGCCACCAACCACCTGTGTAAAACAAGTGTCGCAGTTAATAAATAAAGGTAATACTAGAAATCATTTATAGGATAAAAGATAAAAGACAAATCAGTGATTTTTGTTGTAGGGACGCATTTGGCATATTAAATACGACACATGTTTTGCACATGATGGTTGAATTATGTTAAAATTATAATATACATATATATATATATATATATATATATATATATATATAAATATAAAGAATTATTTACTAACCGTTTCTCCCTTCATAGAACCATTGGTAACTATCAGGAGCTGCTTTTGGTTCCTCATAATTCTCCACAAGATATGGATGTTCCAAAAAGTTAATAGGTATGTCTGCTCGACATAAAGCACACCTATTACTTTGGAATGCTACTCCCTAAAAACACAACAAATCTACTTAATAAACAATACTATTGTTGATTACAAACTATTTGATAATTTATTACCTTAACACACAGAAAGCAAAATATGTGTCCACAAGGCAAACGGGCTGGGTGTATACATGTCTGCAAACAAACTGGGCATTCTAGAACTCCTGTGGAAAATGATATATGATTTATATTTATTATAGTGATTTGTATATAATTTTATTTATTTATTTATTATTATACCTTTGTTTTCTGGCACTGTGCTGTCGTCAGAATCGTCCAAACAAATCACTTCAGAATTACCTTGAGCCATAGCATTAAATTTTTGGCTAAATTTGTTAACGATTGTATTAATAAACCACATAAATTTCACGATGCATTAACAATTTCGTACATAATTTTGAAAGACTATTTAAATCGCTTAATATTAATTATTAAAAGCACAAAATATTGTTAAGATCTTATTTCGACATTTTGACAGCTTTCAGATTTTGACAGTTGAAAGCATATGGCGGACATAAAAATTCGTATTCGTAAAGAGACAACTTCATACCTAAATGCTATGGTTTTGGCAACTGTCAAAAATTTTGCAAAATTTTATTAAAATAAGTGCAAATATTAATAAAACCTATTCCATTCAAGTCCTTTTTTTAATACACAAGATTTCCTAAATTTGTGGCATTAAATTATTGGTGCGTTTATTTCGACATTTTGACAGCTTTCAGATTTTGACAGTTGAAAGCATATGGCGGACATAAAAATTCGTAGTCGTAAACAGACAACTTCATACCTAAATGCTATGGTTTTGGCAACTGTCAAAAATTTTGCAAAATTTTATTAAGATAAGTGCAAATATTAATAAAACCTATTCCACTCAAGTCCTTTTTTAATACACAAGATTTCCTGAATTTGTGGCATTAAAATATTGGTGCGTTCAAGTTATATCTTAAAATCCACATGATTAGCCTATAAAAACGCCGGTTGTCCACAAACACCTAATTTTATTTATTTCTATTTATTCTTCTACAGATCAATCATGAATAATTTGCTGGAGGTGGTTTTTGTAAGCGATGATTCCGGTCAAAACAACACAAGTGTTTATGATCCAAACACTTGCACAATGGTTATGAGTTACAAAGGCGGCAATCTAGCCTCTCCTCGTACAGTTTCCTTAATAAACCACAACTATCTAATAGCAGCTGACCGTGTAAAACCTTTACTAAACGTCTGGCCTATTAACAGTCAAGAAACCGTGCAGGGTTTGCGCATGATATGCCCGGGACGAGTTGGAGCCCTAGACGTCACCCCCAAAGGCATATACTTAGCAGCAGGTATCGAGGATAAGTTGCACATATGGCATGCGAGTACAGGCCGTCTTGCTAGTGTGATATCACGCCATTACCAGCCTATATCTTGTGTCAAATTTACTGATGACGGTAGCTTTTTGATTACTGCCGGTCAAGACGGTGTGATATTGGTATGGAATTTTGCTTATTTAATCCAAGTTGTTGGTGCGAATGAGAGGACACAAGAACCTTTGTATTCATTTTCTGATCACACTTTACCAGTAACGGATATTTTTGTCGGCCGTGGAGGCTTGAATACACAATTAATATCAGTTTCTAAAGATCGTACTTGCAGAATCTATGATTTGACACGGGGTGTGTTATTAAATTCTGTTATCTTCAAAAATGCTTTGACTTCAGTCACCATGGACTTTTTGGAACAGTCTGTATTTGTGGGAGATGCTGAAGGAAAGATTTATCAATTTTTCTTATGCAGTGCTCCAAATGTTGTCGAAGGTGAATCTACAGATATGTGTTTCACCGGACACGAAAGCACAGTATCTTGTTTATCCACGTCTGCAGATGGGCAAACTTTGATGTCCGGTGGACAGGACAGTAAAGTAATATTTTGGCACATCCCAAGCAGAAAAATGATTAGAAAAATAATGTTAAAAGGCGCAGTTAGTAACGCATTTTTTGCACCAGCACCGTCAAATATGTTCTCAAATGAATTCAAACCGCAACCTATCGGTTCCTTAGCAAAAACCCTAAATCTATCTGAGGAATCTCCATTTATCATAGAAGTTTTGAACACAAATCGAAGTATGTTTAATTCAAATGAATTGTTACTGAATTCGGGAAATACAGAGAGCGGAGTTTCTAATTATCAAGAAAAGCAAGAAATGGAAAGACTAGAATATGTAAACAAAGACTTGTTCCAAGAGGCCATGAAGGCAATCTTAACTAAGGAAAAATGTTAATGAGACCATCCATAAAAATAATGCTCATTCGTATGTTTATAATTTTAAATGTAAAAAACTTATTTATAATAATTTTTATAAGAAACATTAAATACAACAAAATTTTGAAATAAGTGTTTTATTAACATCCCGAAAAAAAAGTTTGTTAGTGATTAAATTAGGGAAAAGAATTTGTGTTTGTAAACCGATTTTTCTTAACTTCCCGTAGGGTAAGTTATAGTAATCCCAAAAAAATTAAAAATGAAAATGTTTGCATATCTTCATGTTTCAAAGATTTCTGAATATTTTTGCATACTTTAGAAAAAATGTCAATTTTCAAAAAAAAAAAACAAAATTTTCAACAAAAATCAGAATTTTCAAATAAAAATCACTTACAAAAATTCAAGTTTTCGAAATTTTTCATTATTTTCAAAAAAATATTAAAATTTTGAAAATTTTCAAAAAATATCGGAATTAAAAAATCGTTTTTTTCCAAAAATTCAGTTTTTTTTTCGTTTTTGAAAAGGGCTGTAGTGATTTCAAAAATGTAAAAGCGATGTATTTCGCGTTAGTCGAACAGTTTCTATAAAATAAGCAGAAAAGTTTTATTTCTTCTTTTTCATATGTTCATTATTTTACAGATTAGACTTGCTGAATGATGGCACGCTTTTAGTATCGAAACGTACCCATGAAATTTATATCTTTGTCATATTTATTATCTTATTTTGATAAACGATCTGCTAATATTAATTAATAATTGTATTAATTAATAGCAGAATGCCCAGTCCGTTAGGCCCTATCCGTTCAGGCGCCCTTTTTAATAGACAAAATTTTACGTTTTTAATTAAACAATTTATTTTAAATTATTTGATATAATTTTTAACTTTGCGTTGGGTAAGTTATAGTAATTTTAAATAGTAATTTCGGAGTTACGGAGCAAAGAAAGTGCAGAAAATAGAAATCGAGTTTTTGAGAGAAGGGAGCATCTAATTTGAATGATCTAAAAAACATTCAATTTGTAATGATGGGGAGAAGTGGTAATTAGCTTTTGGCAAAGGCAGGTCCAGCCGTTTCGGAGATACCCAGCGAAATGTGCAAAAAATGGCAGTTTTTGAGAGAACTAAGCGTCCGGTTTGAATGATTCAAAGAACTTTTTACTTATTTTAACAAACGTTTTCAAATATATTATTACAAATACTGTAACTTTCATTATTCTTGCTATCTTGTTATATCTGAATAAATCATAAATCAATTTATCTCCAAAACATTAAGAATCGTCATTTCATTTCGAATTCAATTTAAAAAAAATAGTTGCCTAATTTGCACAAAATTGAAAAAGTGCTCCCGTATAGTCACAGTATAAATGCATTTGCAAATAATTCTGTGCGACATTTTCACTTATACTGTGCTTAGCCTGGCGGCATTTTCACATTTTTCAATAGTTTTCACAAAATTGGAAACGTGACAAAATTACAAAAATATTTTTTGAAAAAAAAATTAGAAACAAAATTTTTTTCCAAAAGCAATTATTTTGTTAAAACAAGCAGAAAGTTCTTTGAATCTTTTAAATCAGACGCTTAGTTCTCTCAAAAAGTGCAATTTTTTTAACATTTAGCTCTGTATCTCCGAAACCGCTAGGCCTACCTCTGCCACAAACTAATAACCACTTTTGCCCGTCATTACGAAAGAATGTTCTATAGATCATACAAATTGGATGATCCGTTCTCTCAAAAACTTGATTTCTATTTTCTGCACTCTTTGCTCCATATCTCCGTAACGGCTGGACCTACCTTTGCTAAAAACTAATCAGCACATCTCCCTATCAATTGAAATCGAATATTTTTTAAACCATTCAAATCGGTTGATCCGTGCGCCCGAAAACCTGGACGAAAAAATGCGGACATACAAAACACACACACGCACACACTCATCCATATTTTCTTAAGTATGCCAGAATGTTCAGAAACTTTTAAAACGTCGAGAAATGCAAAAAGTTTTATTTTCGATTTTCGATCCATTACTATAACAACCCTACGGGAAGTTAATAATCAAACTATTCAATTTCATAACATTAGCAAAGGCAAACTTACTCAAAAATATAATAATATTAATAATAATATCAACAAAAACTTTTTAAATACTTGAAGTATAAAATTCTTAAATAGAAAAGAAGATAAAAAAAAATTAGAAAAAAATTATTTATTAAGTAAGTTCAGTGGGTTGTTCTTGGTGACTTTTGGCAAGTCAGACCCTCTCACCGCGTTAAGGTGACAACCCTTCGAGAGGGAGGAATGGAAAAGGGAAATGGTATAAGGTTTTAAGGGTTTAAGGGTATGAGGGTATAGGGGTAATCAACTCAAATACTCGATTCACAAATATTGCCTAGTTAGGAAAAGTGAGTCCTGGAGGACAGCCAGCTACCTCTGACCACCAATGTCACTAGTCCGCCAAGTACACCACACTTATTGGCCACATGTATACCAGGAATAAGGAAAGGTTTATTATAAATGGAAATAAAGGTGAAATGTTATGAAACGAATTAGAAAAAAATCCTACGCCTATCAACCTAATATAATGCCGAAAAAGTTCCTAATTTTGTTTTAATAAACGAATACTTTATGCCTAACGAATATATAATACACGAATACATTTAGAAAAAAATAATTGAATAGCATATAAAGAGATTAAAGGTGTATCCGAAGAATAATAAAACATTGTATGCACATAATGAACAAATAAAATATGTCTCACATGTTGAAGAAAAAAAATCTTACCTTTTGAGCTCGGAACCGCGTGAGCCCTGTAAAGAAAATAAGAAATATTAGACTGATTTCAAAAGTGATTTGATTAACTTAATTATTTTTTATTTACTATTTATTACATACCTCTGTTCAAAAGAACTCCAGATATTTTTCCCTTTTGATCTTTGCTGACAACAGAAAATCTCTCCATATAATGAAAAAATATAAATTCAAACTTGTTGTTAATTTCAACAAATGTATACATTCTCTCTATTCTATCAAGCTCTGAAAAAAAATAATATCAGGCTGATTGCAAAATTGATTGCTTTCTATAATTTTTATATAGTATTACATACCTTTATTCAAAACAACTCCGGATATTTCTTTCTTTTACATATGCTTTTACAAACCCAGGCCATTGTTTGCTGGCAACAGAAAATCTTTCTCTCTATAATAAAAAATATAGGTTAGAATTTGTTGTTAATTTTGTTGAACTTTATCCATTTTCTAAATAATTTACCTTTTTCTTGTAAATTCGAGCAGCAAATAACGTTTGCTCATAAAGTGCTGAAATATTAAAAAATCGGTTTCTAAACCGTTAGGTGAAAAGAGGTAATAATTTTAGACCTAAAGTAGGTATAAATGACAAATGTAGAAAAGTGCGGTTTTTGAACCGTCAAGTAAAAAAACAAATAAGCAATAAGATCTGAAACTAACGGTGAAGTAAAAAATATAGAACGTGAAATAAAACAGAATCTGAAATAGAACTGGATGATGTATGAAAAATTTCGTATTGAAATTGGTAGGGAAAAAATATAGAAATGTCGATGTTCAAAGCCGGTATAGAAAAGAAAAAAGCCGACTCGAAAAGGTGTTTCGGGTTTCTCAATTGTTTCCCTGAACGATATCGCCTTTCCCTCGCGGTACTTGTTCACTATATGATGTGGTGACATTTAGCCTTAGATGGAATTTACCACCATTAGAGCTGCATTTTCATGCAAACTCGACTCATTAGAGAGACTTGACCTTAGAGATCGGTTCCTCTCGAACACTACATTTCCCCTGGGGGATTCAGTGCCGGGCTGTTCCCTGTTCGCTCGCCGCTACTGAGGGAATCCTTTTTAGTTTCTTGTCTAAAGACAACTGCCTTGTTGAGGTCGTCATACGTTCTTTGTGGAACGCACTTGAATTGTATCGACGAGGAACCTTCGAATCGCCCATTGCTGGACTGGTTCACACGTTCAATAAATTATTTAAGAGCACGCGCATTTAAAATGCACGAAACTCCATCATTCGCTGACAAACCAATTAAGGGATGCAGCAGTCTGGTAAGTGAAACGACACTCAGGCAGCAGTCGGTCCGGGAACATTATCCTCTGACCTCAATTTGCGTTCGATATGTCGATTTTTTCATCGACCCACATCATGTCAAGTGATCCATCGTTCAGGGCATTCGTTGAGATTCGTTGAGATTCGTTGAGACCTGAAATAACGCAAAACCCCACCAGACGTTGGCGAGCCGCGACAGAAGCGACGCATTACAGGCAACCACCTGTCCGGTAAAGTAAAACGATTATTCAGGCAGCAGAAGGGAAAAAATCACAAACACAAATGCAAAACTCCACCAGACGCCGGCAAGCCGATTAGAGCAGAGCCCATTAAGGCAAACACTTGCCCGGTAAAAGTAAAGCCAAGTGAAGTGAATGTCGGGCAGAAGAGAAAAACAATTCAAGACCTGAAATAGGAAAAAAGGAAAAAAAATGTAGAACGTAGAGGAGAACAAATCCTAAAATAGACGAATAAAAAATTTTGTACCGAAATTGGTAAAGAGAGGTAAAGAGAAAAATAGAGATTTCGGTATTGAAACCGTTAAGTGGAGGAGGAAGCAAAAAATTAAGTTGAGAGGACATAGCCTCAGAGCTGAAAAAAAATAAATAGAGATTTCGGTATTGAAACCGTTAAGTGGAGGAGGAAGCAAAAAATTAAGTTGAGAGGACATAGCCTCAGAGCTGAAAAAAAATAAATAGAGATTTCGGTATTGAAACCGTTAAGTGGAGGAGGAAGCAAAAAATTAAGTTGAGAGGACATAGCCTCAGAGCTGAAAAAAAATAAATAGAGATTTCGGTATTGAAACCGTTAAGTGGAGGAGGAAGCAAAAATTAAGTTGAGAGGACATAGCCTCAGAGCTGAAAAAAAAATAAATAGAGATTTCGGTATTGAAACCGTTAAGTGGAGGAGGAAGCAAAAAATTAAGTTGAGAGGACATAGCCTCAGAGCTGAAAAAAAAATAAATAGAGATTTCGGTATTGAAACCGTTAAGTGGAGGAGGAAGCAAAAAATTAAGTTGAGAGGACATAGCCTCAGAGCTGAAAAAAAATAAATAGAGATTTCGG